CAGCGCGGCCCGCGCGCTAATGAGCGAAACAACCTAACGGTGTGCCTGCCCTCCCTTCCCCCCAGACCATTAAAACATGGGAGATCGGTGGAGGATCCAGACTTCGGCTTCCCCGACATGGATGCTCGAAGGGAGGGGAGACGTGAAATCAACTCTCCTGATTGCTTTTGGGGGGGGGCGCAGAGAGAAGGGATCCCCCCCACCCCAATCCTGCTGCTTTAATTACAGATCATCGCGCACCCACCGCACTGCCTGGCCGGGCAGAGTTCAGCGGAGGGTTTTCTGCCTGCAGATGGAATGGCCTTTGGCCGCCCCCCTCCCCTCCTTTTTTTTTCTTTTTTTCTTTTTGGGAATCAATGTGTTTCCTATTACCCGGCCCTGCCGTGCCCGGCAGCCGGGCGCGCGGAGCAATGGGAGACGCCATGTTGGCTCAGCTCGCAGGACTCCTCGGACTATTGTTGCATTTCGCGTCTAACTGGCTTCTCTCACACCCCCGAGCGCCGAGAGGAGGAGGGGGGAGAGGGGCTGGGAGAAGAAATAAAGCGAGCTCAGATCGGAAGAAAAAAAAAAAAGCAGCAAGAAAAAGAGACACTTAAAGGGAAAGAGTCGCCATGTTTAGCAGCTTTTTTAAAGATCTCGTCAATTTCACACAGAACGCGCCCGCTCGGTTCCAGCCCTCGCCTTTTGTCCGATTCAGTCGCAGCAAAAGATCTTTTGTTCTAACTCAGCGTGAAAAGAAAAACTTTCTTTAAATGCAATAAACTTAAACCAAGCTCAAGAATCTAAACAGATCCTCCTCCGGGCCACTCTACACACAGACAAGAGGTTTTGTTTTAACCGTTTGAGAAATGGGGGGTCCTGTGTGGCTGCCTCGCAGACACCCCCCGTCTGCTGCGACTCAAGAGACCGAGAGAGGACACAACCCCAGCGCCTAGGACCCATGCTGGAAGCAGAATAAAACAGGCACCGTCTTTGGCTTTGAGAAATCATAAATTATCATTTAATGCCAATAATAATTTACAACAAATGGCTGTTTACAATAAGCTAACACAAAACAAGGCAGGAGCCGGGCCTGTGTGAGACTTTACTGGACCAGCTTCACAGGCTCGAATGGACAGCACTTGGTGCGAGAGGACAGAACCTCCACCCAAAAGGTCAGGGCTCTTCTGCCCTAAGAACATGCTTAGCGTCATGTATGTGCGGAGCTACCCAAGGAAGCTGAGGGTGCGCTGGGGAGCTGCCTAGATGCTCACATCACAGCAGAGTCCTGCTCTACATGCACCGCCTGGCACCTGAGTCTCCAAGTTTAATAGACTTTGCAAAATGACCCCTTTTCTTTCCCCTCCCCTCCCCACCCCGTTTTTAAATTAAACCACAACACAGGGAAACGGGGGGGTGGGGTGCTGGAGAGAGAGCCTCAACAAGAACAAAATTGCAAGCTCCCAGGAGCTGAGCTTTCTCCACACCGGGAAAGGGGGGTGGGGTGGGGAGGAGGGAAGAGACTCCCACACAAAATAGCCCCTACTTCCAACTCAGCACACCCTGTCAGTCAAGTTTCCTTCCTTCCTTCCTTCCTTCTCTCTCTCCCTCTCTCTCTCTCTCCTCTTTCTTAATTTGGCTCCTCAGGACCAAGGGTCCCAAGAGCAGTGCGTCCACACGGTCTGAAATGTCAGGATGTCCATGTGTTTTCAGGCACAGAACGCCAGTGGCCCTGTGTCAGGCCCTCACGGAAGCGGGGAGGGGACAGGACATAGACAGTAAAAGCAGACCCCTCAGCACAGCATTTAAAATCCTCTCAACAGCTACACTAGCTAAGAACCACAGAATATATATATATATTTTTTAAAATCACACCTACTTCAGGAAAAACTCCTTGCACACAGTCTCCTGCGTCAGAAATGTACAAAACACTATTTCTTTTTTCTGATCATAAAATAGATACTGATCTCCAGATTTCTAAGACTTTGCACAATACCTTCTCTTCCCTAAGCAGGCACTTAAGTGTGACAAATATAAGGGCCTTTATTTTTTTTTTCCTGGAAAATCCATTTTTAATTAAAAAGAGGATTAGGTGAAGGGGGGTGGTTTACCAAATCAGGATGGCACTTCCTAAAACTATAGATAAACCATTAACTTCAGCTTCCCCTCCCCCCCAACATTCCCAAATTAAGCAGGCAGTAACACTAGTCCACTTTGGAACAAACAGGATCGTCAACAAATGGACCCTCCAGCCCCACTGGGGACAGCTCTTAGGGGGGTCTTGTCCATGGCAAATCAGTGAGTGGGGACAGCCAAACAGGTTTCAGATATCAAATAATATTTTAATTTCTGAATACTTTCAAATTTTCCTTGGAATATAACACACAAAGACTCGACCAAACAGTTCAGTTATTATAACTTTTACAGTATACAGAAATGTTGCACTTTAAAAAAAAAACCTTCAGTTTTTTTTAAAACACAAACTGTAAACTCTAAGATACTGAATCAATCACATTATCTATAAGTGCCAACAGTGTTATTTTGTCATGCTGATTTCAATGGGTATTTTTTTTTAAAAAGGGAATATCAACAGTTATAATACAAAGGGTTTGCAAATATACAAACAGATAGAGGATTTTTCATAACAATTCAAGAACTTAGCGGGACCCAATTCAAATTACAAAAGTTCACTTTTTATTCAAAACCTCAGCATGTGTCTTGGACACATTCCTTGGCTGCCAATAAATTCCACAGTTCATTCTCTTTCTTAAAATATTTTTTAAAAAGCTAGGTTTGTCTTGGTGTCTTTTTTGGGGGGGTAGGGAGGGGGAGTTAAGTGTTGTATGTGGTTCTTGCAGATCTCAAATTAGCTCAACTTCACCTAAAATTTTTGGCCACCACCTCTAAGTGCGTTCCCATCAGCTCTGAATTTTCTTTTAAAAAGTTTTAATGTCTTCCTATGATATTTTCATGGACTCAGTTTTAATTCTTGCAGAACATATATTTTAAGGATACACAGTTTTTAAGAAGCCAAGATTATATCAAAACTTATTATAGAACCACAGAATAAACTGGTTTAGAACCAGGAAAATACAAAAAAAGAACAGCTAGAGGTACAGACACAGGACAATGAATAATTTGGAAAAAAAAGAAGACTTACTTTCTCCATTCTGCTAATTTTCTCCCAATCTCCTTAAATGCACTTTTAGCAATATTTTTCAAAAATTTACCAAAAAAAAAGAAAAAGACTAATTTCCTTTTTATACAAAAAAAAATTATAAGTAGCAAGTTGTTCTGACCGACACAGGAGTTGTTGTTTTTTTTAATGCATTCTGTAAAAGTTCATTTGACAGTCTCTTAATTTTTTGGAAATTCACAGTCCATAAAGTTCTTCCCCTCTCTTCTTTTTTTTTTTTTAGCAAACGTGTAACATCCTTTTATATCCTTTCTTAACAGAAGGAATTAAGCAAACAAACCAGTCTTTTGCCTTTTTGCTTTCTCTGCTTCACTCCCCCTTCTTACTTGGATTTTTTTTTTTTTATTGAATTGCCATATACGGCCAGTTAAAACTGCTGCCGGACAGTAACATATCCCGGATGAGGGTTTCGATGGGGGTTTTACCTACCAAACGGACGAAAAACAATTGCTCTATGACCGAGGAGGAGACGGTGCGCAGGGAAGGGAGACGAAGCAACAGCTTCCCGAATCGCGTTGGCTGGTTGGGGTACTGGCTCCTGACATATTCTTCCAAGGCGCACTGGGACTTTTCCTGCAAGCTCTCCACGTGGGCTACATCCGACAGACCACAGGCATCTGGAAGAAAGTTAAAAAAAAAAAAAAAAAGAGGAAAAAGGAAAATTCAGTCATCAGATGAAGAGGTTTGCAATGGGTCACATGAGGTGTGTATACATGGCCCAATCTCCAACTCCCTCAGAAATGCCTAGGACCGAAAACTTGGGGGGGAGGGAGGGAGGGGGAGCTGGAGCTGGTCTTGGGGTATCTGCTTAAAAAATAGACCCCAGTTCTGTAGCTCTCAGGGCTTCCCTGTCCCAGCCCCAGGCGAAGTGCACTGGGTGAAATCTGGCCCAAGTCAGTAAACAGAAAGACAAACAGATGAAACCAAAAGTGGCCCTGCTCCTCCCCTCCTCCTCTGTAAATAATAGTTAGGCTTATAATTATGGGGGGGGGGGGCGGCAGCCTGGCCCGGCGCGGAGGAATGGCGTCCACGACCCAGCCTCAGATTGTCCCCAAAGAGGGCGACTCATTTTTCTCCGGGCTTTGAAACTGATTTAAGTGGCCCTTTAAAGCTGATCTTGTCAGTTTAGCCCATTGAAGGGCAGCCATGCAAACTGTGATCTCTCTGTTCATTTGAGCTGTTTCTTTCCCCCCTTTCTTCTCTCTCCCCTTTTCTCTTACCCCCCTTTAGTTATTTTTTTTTTTAACAACTCAGGTCTCCCCAGAGAAACCCCCCCCCCCCCCCTTCCCCGTTATCTTCAGGAAAACACTTTTCTTTTCCTGATACGTAAAAAATACAACAAGTGCCTTTGAAATGAGAGGCTGCTCGGTGGAGGCGGTGCAGCCTGTGACCTGACCTCAGGGGGCTCCCCAGACAAGACTGGGGCTGACACGCACACATTGCGCATCTTAAAGCGGGGCTTGGAAATCAGCCCCTTCCACCCCAGGCCCCAGAACACACATGCGATGTGCTCCTGTGTGTCTCCGGGACTCTGCCTGCCTGCCTCCGCCCGGGGTAGGTGCCTGTGGTCAGGCATGAAAAGATGTGTTTGCAGAAGGCTCTTCCCTGAGCATCCGCACCTGTGGTCTCCCTGAGACTCAGATAACAGGGACCCTTATCTCTCGGTGGGGTGATGTGCGCTCCCCACACAGGCCTGGGCCTTTTGCAAATAGTAATAAATTCAACTGTTACGACAGTATCAGGCATTTCTCTCCTTGAAAGACCCAGGGAGAAGGCTGAGACTAACAATGATGGCCAGCGATTCACAGCCACCCCCACGGGCTGGGAATGTGGTTGGGTGTGGGGTCCCGGACTGGCTGAAGGAGGCTGTGGGGCAGGGGGCCATCCTGCTGGTAGGTTTGCATCAGGCAAACGGTCCCGTCCTGACAGGTCCCCCCCAAGGGAGAAGACTCCAGATTTGAGCCTCTGACACAGCCATCCCTTGCCCGGACACTGCCCTTTAATTGATCACCTAAGGACTTTTGAAGGCAGTGGGGGGGGGGGGGTTTATGAAAACAGCAGCGATATAGGAAAGACTCAGAACCTGCCATAGGTTGGGTCCCCAGCTTTCCTTCCCACAATGAGGAAGGGGCTGCGTCTTTTTGTCCGCCACGCTAGCCACAAGGCTCTCTCCTGTCCCGATTGGAGCTGAACACACAGTGGGGGACTAGGTTCCCACCCCAAACCCACGTCCAAGTGGTGGGTGTGCCCCATGGGGAACCCCTTCCCCGCCTCGGCCTTGACAAAGGGATCAGCTGATAACTTAGCCCAAGAAGGTGGAGGAGCCAGAAGGCTCAGGTGTGGCCCACAGTGCAAAGCCAGGCACTTGCAAAAATCATTTGGCCTCAAGAGTTCATTAATATGAGATCTATTGCTCACACAGGTTAAACTACATGCAAACTAATTAGATTTCATCATGCACTCGGTGATGGTTTTATATCGCCAGCAACATTCAGACGCTGGCAGCCCAGGTTGGCAGACACTTGGAGTTGTTTGGAAATTGCCTCAAGTGTTTGCCTGGCCAGGGCGGGAGCAAGAGGCCGGACTCCCCAGGCCCCGGCAGACACTCTGAAGAGTTATGATGGCCCCTTTCTCCCTCCTGCCCCTGCCTGGCGGCTCGCTCCCCTCCCCTCCCCTGGCCGTCTGCATTGTCTTCCTAAGAATCTGGTTTTCGAAATTGGTGCCCTCCAGTTGGCTCTGCCTGGAGCTCCAACTCCTACCTAGTTAACAGGCAAACTTTCCCCTGCGAGCGGCTGCCAGGACCGCCCCCAGGCCCAGGGGCATCTCGGGGAGGTGAAGCCAGGGTGACAGAGAGAACCGCTGGGGTTGACAAGACCCCACAGGCTCGGCTGGCCCAGGGGGCCTGGGCTAAGGGTGTGTGTGTGTGTGTGTGTGTGTGTGTGTGGCAGAAGCTCACACCCCAGCCTGGCAGGAGGGCAGCAGGCCCCGGAGGCCTCCCCTTGGCCCATTTGGAGAGTCTGTGTCTGCAGCATCCTGCCTGCAGCCCAGCCTTCCTCTCCTTCCCACACAGGCCTGCTGGGGCCCAGCAGCTACTCCAAGTTCTCATCCAAGTAGCACTCAACAGTCTGGCCTTTCCCGGGGGAGGCTGGTCCCTAACTCCGGGCGCGAGCAGGCCAGGCTCCTTCCTACCTGAGGTGAACAGGACTATGGCCTTGAGGCAGCTGTACTCGGCGGAGTCCACGTGCAGGGCCTTGAGCTTCTCCACTTGCTCCTGGAAGATGCGTATGTGGTCCATAAAGGCGACCACCCGGTCGGCGGACATGGGCGAGGCGTGCAGCCCGGCGGCGGCCAGGAGCGGGGCGACGTGGAGGGGCATGGAGCACTGGGCCGCGTTGAGCACGAACAGCTCGCTCCAGGTGAGGCGAAGCAGGGCCACCTGGTCGGTGATCTGCAGGTCGGGGAAGAAGGGGATGTTCCGGGCCCACTCGACGGCGCTGAAGAGCATCCGGGCGGCCAGTTCGCAAATGTTCTCGATGCCCATGATGTTGTTGGGCTGCATGCACTGGCTGCCGAAGCGGGACGTGGGGTAGGGCTCGGCGCGCAGCAACAGAGAGATATATCCCGACAGGTACGAGTGGCAGTTGAGGGGGTCCCCGTTGGTCAGCGCGAACTGCCCGTGGGTCGGCTGGGTGGGCGGCATCCTGCCCCTCTGGACCGCTGTGGGGGGACAGAAGACAGTGTCTGGTTAATGCCCGGC